ATAAAATATAATAAAATATCATCTAATTAAATTTATGATATGAATTAACCAATAAAATAAGAACTAAATATTCATATCATAACAGGTCTCTTATAGTTAAGAATTTTACTCCGTAAAATAAAAATATAAGATAATAAAATGAGTATAAAAAATATAAGAATTTAAAAATATAAGAATATAAATTGAATATATGTTGGATCTCAGTTCTGCATGCTTATCGTAAGACACTGGAAGACTTTGCTACTCAGCTATATAGTCTTAGTCAGTCATAACAATCATTATTGGTTTAAGAAATAATAAATTTGAAAGTGAATAATAAGAATAAGATCTCATCTTACGTATAGACATTATAGCATAGGTCCTCTGATAAGACTATAACAACATGTAGGTTATTCCATAAGTCACCAACACACATAGCATTCTGACCTCTTCTGTTAAGATGGAATTAAGAATAAGAAAGTTTAAACTATGTATATAACAGAGAACATCTATTACAAAATTCAAGTGACGTCGAACCAACACCTCAACGAATTAAGTCAGAGAATCAGTCATAATAACAGTTTCTATTTACTCAAAATTTTTCGCGTATACAAGAAGGATAATAATAAGAAAAGGGTAATTATTCAAAATTTAATAAAAATAAAATAAATTGAAGAACTTAGAAAATGAATTGAGTGTTTTTTTATAAGAAAATGCAATAGAAATTAGATTAATAATTATCTAAATAATTAATAATTGAGATCTTCTCATCATCTATTTCAAATATAGATGGATAAACAAAAGGATAAGAGATTATAAGAGCGAACAAAGGGAATGATAAACTTTAAAAATTTTACTATATTTAGTAAAAAATAGCTAGGAACTCAAATAAACAAAAAAAATATAAACATTTACTAGTCAACTAACTATACATAAACCATGGCAAATCTTTATGCCAAACATGACAATCATATGTCATAAACTAAAAAATGGTTGGGCTTATTGATATGGCCAACAAAAACTAAACTAAAAATAAATAAATAAACTAGATTTCCCAGAAATAAAATATGAATATAACTTTTAATTCCAAATTTATAATATAAATTATCAATAAATGGTACTGTTATCCTGTTAATGGTTGATACCAATTGAGTTTTTGCACCCATTAAAAAGTTCACATTAACAACAGGTTACTTCATTCATCAAAAATTTTGTTGATAATTCACTTTATTCCCTTGCAAAATGAATTTTTCACTAAAAAATTATAATAAAGTCCTTTTTAATTTCGTATACAAATTTTGACATGATCTTCATAATTTCCATCTGTGTGTGATATCTCCTGAATTTATTTTTGGATGTCAGATCTACATGATGCAAGTATGCAGCTTAGCATATTGATTATTAATCATTTCCTTTTCTTGTCGTGAGAAACAAAGAGAGTTTTCTTGACTAAATCTCTTTAACAGTCACAGGACATGTCCCTGTGGTTGATTTTTGATAATAAATTTTTTTGTGTAACATGCTATGCTGTAACTTCCACGTGAACATACTTCAATTGGTATATAAGAAATGATCTTTTGACTCTCGACAAGTATGAATCTCCATGCCTTAAACTTTTATTTCATACTAGAAACAGGTATGTTTGCGTGACTATATTCCAGCGAAAATTTGACACGAAAAATAGTGTTTTTTTAGCTAAATGCTAAGATCTTCTTCCAACTAACACAGTTTTAAGCTAATTCTTCTTTGCAATAGGCCGCAAATGAAGAGCACTTCAAAACACCTTATTAGTGCAAAGGCGTTTTACTTGCAGCTTTTGAACGCTTAATTATAAGTATTCTTTTTTTATATATAAAGTTTTAATTTTTATAGCCGGTTAGATTATTTTATTAACAAGTATATGGTTTAGCAAAAAATTTAGTTGACTCCGGAGGGGAGGGATTCTATCTAAGGTTGCTTGCCGAAATTCCTTAGTGACTGTCTAAATTCTGTCGAAATTATAATAAACTATTAGTAAATAACCCGTCGAAATTCTGACGAATTTTGAAACCCGTCGTAACCGAAATTATGTCGAAATTCTAATTAACAATTAGTGTGTAACCCGTCGAAATTATGACGATATTTTTCTGAAAGAATTTAGGCAAGCATCCTTAGTTCTATCTACCAGTTTGCGATATTCGCGGAAGCTAGAGAGGTTCAAAGATTACCAGGATCATGTAAGTACTTCGCTCGCTATATATAACAATTCGAGGTTAACGATCTAATGTTACTCTATTTTTTTAATTCTCTTGTTGGGGTTGGGACGGTTATTTCTCCAATACTGTTTGATTCTTTCAGCCATCCAGCTTGAAAAAACAGTTTGGAGTTGCAACAACACTTCTGAGATTGCGTCTTCGGAGGTAAATCTTCGAATCTAAATAATTGGATAAGTATCATTTTCTCTGCATCTGTAGTAACGTGACGTATCTGTTTTGAATGGCTAGTTTCAGATGCTGAAGTGTTCTGTTGAACAGTTAACGCTTGGATTGATTTGTATTTCTCCATATTCTCAAGTTGAGTGTGAGTGTAATTAACTACATTTTGTGCGCAGCATCCAGTAGCTACTCGGGGCTCAGTTTTATACACATCCTGCGTAAGTATTTGTTGAAAACGCAATTTTCCAGACTCATAGAAAGAAAGAATATTCTTAATGCCATTTTCACTAATTTCTGGTGCATTTCCGAACAAA